ACATTTGTTTCATTTTCCCWGTGATCTCCTTTCCTACAACCAAAAATGTGTAACAGATGGTGGCAGTCYTCAGAACATCAGTGCAGCTGGAAAACATGAGCCGGGAGAGACTGCACAGAATCAATAAAACCTGTGTGTTCAGTTCGCGCATTTTAATCACCTAGTTCAACTTCAGTTTTAAAAAGTCCTGATATTTGCTACATCCTGCGTATTTCAACGTTCTTCTGCGTAATCAGATCTGAACATTAGRCACAGCAGTGGTTCGGCCTTTCAGTCAGCAACTTAGCTGATTTAAACCTCAGAGTTAGGAAACAGGTGAACTTGAGTTACCCCCACCCCCCATCCCCCCAAATCCATGTCTCACACAGAGTTTCATTCTGTTATTGCAAAGGAGACCATGGAAGGAGGCTTAGAAATTTTGGAGATATTGTTTTTCTTTCACCACAGCCGTGTTGAAGTGTTTTCATTTAGTACTATCACACAATAATTTCATTAAAATATACTGCTAGGATTTTCAATCTTACAGCCAATACTCCTACAAAATCCTAAATATTTCATGATCTACAGTGATCAAGCTGCAGTTTGTCTGTGCTTGCCTTAAATAGTATTTACAGTTCTCTGGAGGCTGTTCAGATGTGTCGCAAACTCGACGAGCCAAACATAAATAGGATTTCAGAAACGTAAGCACATTTATGAAGTGTCGACTCAGAGCTGTATTTATAAATTAGGGTTAAATAAAGTTTGAGCTCATTTTAAAGCTGCAAAATGCCGGTGAGTGGAGCAGCAGCTCGGGTAAACCTAGAAACACGACGTTCCGAATTAACTCTGAACAAAAGTCACCTCAGTGCTCCATTTCACCCTTATAACATCATGAGTCTGTTGTTGTTCAGTCTTGTCCTCACTCTCCTCCATCATTACTCCTGTAAGAATATGCATGAAGCCATCGTGTTCTGGTCCAGAWCAGCTGGTTCTGCCTGCACCGCTGTCACTTTTCTTGCTCGGGTTAGCTGCAGTTTGGGCATTAACGCTCGTACCCGGCAGACAGGTGGTAATTACCCTGAATCTCAGCGTGGGCACTGTTATCAGTAGCAGTAAAGAAGCCAGGAAGCCAGAAATGAGAGACAGGATGTGCTGTGTCAGGGTGTCTGTACATTATGTGAAGAAGGAAAGACTGAAACAAAGTGGACATAATCTGGTTAGAATTGATTTCAGTTTCCAACACCTAACAATGAATGACTCGACTCATTTTAAAATGATATATGCCTGTTATGTCTTTGCTTCAGTACGATACGATCCTGTGTGATTAATGTTTACGCTTCAGGCAAGGGCTGAGTTGTCTGGTACGACATATTACATGTTAGTACTGCTGTTGTTGTTGAGGGAGTCAAACTGTTTGTTTGGAAATTATAGTTGCACTTATTTTTGAGAAAAGCTTGTTGAAAAGTACATCAAGTACTTATTGAGCTTAATTACTGAAATTATTTGGATCTTTGGTTTTATTTATCAGGATGTTAAATTTTTTGTCTCTGTCATGCTTACTCATGGAACAGGTTCTTGTTTGCACTATCAACTTACTCTTATCTGTTGCACATTGATCTGAAACAGGCAGTAATTTGCGAACTTGACCAACATCAGCGAGCTGAAAGCTAACTCCTGTTGGGTCATTTCTCTTGTCTCAATTTGTCAAGATGTTCTTCAGTAATTAGCTTTAGAAAAATGATCATTGAATGAGTAAAGAGGATTAAAGGTAATCACTTGTTTTTTCATTAACACTTTAATGCCGATTACATTATTTTCCCACATAAATCAATATTAGAATAATTCAAACTTTTGTTGTTTATGTCAATGCTTGGTGACATTTCTCTGCTTTTTCTTTATACTTTTTCTGTCACTTAGAACATCCTAAAATAAAGATTTTTTTATACAAACACAATATTCAAATTTCTCAACAATAGCCAAAACATTTCTCAAAACCAAATTTTAAAAACTGCAGCCGAAACWGCCTTTATACACAAGCTGCAAACAAAAACAGGAACCAACTATTTATGAAAATCTCTCCAAACTGTCATTATCATTAGTCAAAAAAGTCCCAGTGGGTTTCTTTAAAGTGGTCATAATTACGGTAACATCATGTCCCAAAGCTCTGTTCATTGTATTTAGAGTTTTAGCTCCAACATTTGTATTTGCTGGTTTGAGTCATTGAAAATGCTGTACAGTTATGATTTTTAAGCTAGATGCTTTAAATCATCCATCCATTTAGAAAAGCCAAACAAGCTAAATATAACCAGTTATTTCCATCAGTAGTTGACAGAAATCAACAACGAAGAGCTAAAAATAAGAAGACATTACATTTAAGTGGGCAGAAACAAAACAGGAAATGATGTATTCTGTATCAAATAGAGAGAAGATGCTGCTTTTTGTTTGCATGTTGTTGAGGTTTATACCATGAAGTACTCCCACAATCACCGCAGTATTGTGATGGGGAAAAAAATAAAATAACATAAACACAACAGACCACTCACTAAGTGTCAAAGTGTTTGTTTAGTTTGCCTCCTTCAAAATTTTCTCAACATTTTTTTTCTTTGATCACTAAGATCATGTTTTGCCAACAATCAGAATTTTCACGGTGACTCAGCGATCCTTCCTGGCAGTAGAAGTAAAACCAGTTCAGAGGTTAATGATCCCTGACTGCGAGCGACGGCCAGTAATGAGGGCGCTCACAATGGCGGCTAAAAGGAGTCACAATCAGGATCACTTGGCTGTGAACGAAGAGAAGGAAGGCAGCACGTGCCGTCATACATGAAACGCCCAGCTTATTTGTCATGAAAGAACACGGTGTACTGCTTGTTTCGTCTTTTTTAGGGCTTCAGACCTTAGTTCCATTGTACCGAAGGTTCAGTGGTGGCGTTGAACACGTTAAATCAATACTGCAACAGTGCAGAACCTGTTAGTTGTGATTGATGTGTCCTAAAACCACAGATGCACCAACAATCCACGTGGCTCATCCTGAGTCAAGACAGCCACGCTTTAACTTTTTGTTGGCGTTTTCAGGAAATCATTTTCTGAACTTTTCACAGCAAAATCCAAAGTGTTAATTTAACTCGCAGAGTGTTAAATTTAACACTTTTTCTTAGTTTATACAATTCTCACAGATTCTGAGTTAAAATTACACTTTGAAAGTGTTAATATTCAACACTTTTAAACTGTTAATATTCACTCTTTAATAGTGTTAAAATTTGACACCCACTGGTGTTCTTTTATGACACTACTTACTGTAAGTGCACTTTTAACTCAAAATTGTGTTATTCTCTTTTACAGTTAGTGTTAACATTTTAACATGAATTTGAACACCTAACTAACCTGAACCAAACAACTAACCAGATCAAATCATTTTTACACTCATGAATATCTTTAATAGTCATAAACAAGCAAACGCATCATTTCTACAAGATTACCCAGCATCCTTTGCTTTGTTCGTGTGGCGTGATGTGGAAGAGGGAGGGGCTTTTCAGAATCGACACTACATGGTGTTAAATAACAACACTGTTAAGTGTTATATAACATATAACACTTTTAAGTGTTACTTAACAGTGGGCGGAGCTTATTTAACTCTCCAGAGTTAAGACAACACTGGTGAAATTAACTCTGTGAATTAACACCAACACTGGCTGTCAGTTAACTCAGAAAGTGTTAAAAAACACTTCAGGAGTTAAAGGGATCCCCGATTAGTTGTAACATTAGACTTTATTTGATAAACATACTGTATATTTTAACTGTAAAATAAATACTGTAAAAATACTGTAGGCTGTTCACTTTTGTAAATTTGCTGACGCTATATTGCCTTATATGTATTAGCTCGGCGCTAGCGCGACAAACTAACAAGCTAAACTGAGGTCCTCCATCCATATTTTCTGTCATTTTTTGCGTTCCCCTCTCTGTCATGTGGATGGAGGACCTCGGTTATGAGAGGAGAATGTGTAGCGCTGAGCTAATACATATATATGGTGATAGCATTGGGGCTAATGCTAAAGCTAACAGGCTAAGCTGAGGTTCTTCTTCCATGAAGCAGCTCTGTTGTCCTCCATCCATATTTTCAGTTACAGGCTGAGTCATTTCTACCTTCTCCTCTCTGTCAACGCTCTCTGGTTTCATTTAAAAGAGTCGATCGTCAGATATTGTCCAAGATTAACCTTCAGGGTGGATATAGCTCACTCACACCGAGGACCTATCCATGTCATCATTTACCCAGAATGCTTTGTGTGTAAATAAAATGGCTCCATCCGTGTTAAAATATATTTTTAAAAATTTACAAAACTGAACATCCTACTGTATTTTTACAGTCTTTATTTTACAGTTAAAATATATGTTTATTAAATAAAGTCTAATGTTACAGCTAATCGTGGATCCCTTTTAAAATCAACTCTGATAAGTTTAACACTGAAATTTTAACACACTGGTTTTTGCTGTGTTCAGTTGGAGGGAACATGGAAATTCACCGTAGCCTGAAACGTGAGCATGTTCCAGTATATCACACAGGCATCGTCTCCGCTCGCACCTGGCTRGTTTTTAACGTGGCACAGTGCTGCCCGTTTTAACTCTGAGTCCGTTTCCTGACATGAGTCCTGCTGTGACCCTCGTCTGGAATGTACATTGACCTGGAGAGCTTACACGCAAGCCTCTGTTCCCACCCGACTCTTCAGAGAAAGTGGCGTCCTCTCACCTCACAGCCTCCCAACGTTCAAGACGTCCAGCAGGGGAAATACCAGCGTGGGACCATTGTTTTAAGAATGGATACTGTATCTGCAGATCATTCCTGAGCTGGGAACAGCAACTGAACCCTGACACTTTTCTCAGAATTAAGGAAGATATGTCAACTGTTCAAATAGTTCCCCTTCAGGATACTTTACGATGGTTTCTGTAATGCTTAATGAAAGGGTTATGTATGGGCTTTAAATGCATCTGTACTGATTACATTTCTTATATTTTATTTAATTTTTTAGGCCATGGTTGCTTGTTATCCAGGGAACGGAGCGGGATACGTGCGCCACGTTGATAATCCCAACGGTGATGGCCGCTGCATCACATGCATCTACTATCTTAACAAGAACTGGGATGTTGAGGTACGTTTGTTAGCTTATTAACAAATTAAACGTATTATACYATGCTTTTTTATGCTGCCCTGTCAGTGTTACTGTTGCTGTTTAAAGTAAAGATAAAACAGAYTCAAATGGAGTCTAACCACACAAAAGCATTGTTCAGTTACTACGTGTTAGCACTGCAGATATGTGACCGCGATTTGTATTTGTTTGTTTGTTTTTGTAGACGCAAGGAGGACTTCTGCAGATCTACCCTGAAGGCAAAAACGTGGTCGCCAACATCGAACCTTTGTTTGACCGGCTGCTCGTCTTCTGGTCTGACCGCAGGAACCCACACGAAGTCAAACCAGCCTTCGCCACTCGGTCAGTAACTCGATGCTGGAATCCATTTTCTTTGTATTGTACTAAACACAGAAAAGACTCCAAATATCTAGAAATGTCACTGTGTATACAGTATACTAAATAAAAAAACTACTACTACTAAAGCAGGAAAGTTACATGGACTGTCTTACCTCAACACTACAAGAGCTCTCTGTTAGTTTTTTTTTTTAATGGTATAGATTTTCATAGAAATATCTGTTAAAATTAATACAGAAGAAAAACTCTGTTTCTCAATTGAGACTTTTCTTCCTTCTCTTTTTCACTTTCCCCTTTTCATTCCACTAAACTCAACAACTTTGCCAGTCTTGTTTATTTACAAAGTCAGTCAGTCAAAAAGTGATGGAAACAGAACCGAGTGGAACAAAACCAGGAGCCAAAACAGTTGGTGTTCCCTCGATGTTGACATGAGATAGACCCACTCCAAGCATAAACGCTCTGATGTCAGCACTTGCACAGCGGTCTTATTTACATCATCGCAAGAAAATGTTTTGTCCGCCTTGATCACGTGTAACCGAGCCTTCCTCCTCTCGTTGCGGGGGGAGGGGGGGGGTGGGAATAGACGAGGTGGGTCCAGAGGCAGGAAGTGTGTGTTTCCTGAGGAGGTCGATGGGAGGTGGGGAGGAAGGTTTGATAGCAGGACTCGTGCCGGAGACACACACATGAGAGACGGGAATAAACAACAAAGGCCCACAGGGGGTTGAGAAGCTGTGGAAAATAACCCTTCACTGGCCGGGACATCCATTATCCACAAAATTTACTTTAACTGTGTTTTTAATTTAGGGTTTCTGGATCAACTTGAAGAATAGTATTTGCTATTTTAATGTTTTGTTTCAGGCATTATAACCATTACTTTAAATAGTGGGATTTCTTGCTCAAAATAAAGTTTTGTTCATTAAATATCTGATTGTTTTAATGTACAGTCATGATTTTAATTTCTAATTTTTGTCAAAGTCTGAAATGTGGATTTTGATTTGATCAATTTCTCTTAAAAACTTTGGTTGCAGGAACCTCTATTTTCTACTTTTTTCTCAGTTATGGTACATCAATAGACAGGTGGAATAAAGACTTGAGATTTTTCCTGGTCATTTGTCAAAGTATTTTTAACATTTGTTTTGTATCTCCTCTGTGTTTTGCAGTTATGCCATCACAGTCTGGTACTTTAATGCCAAAGAGCGGTTAGAGGCTAAAGAGAAGTACCGATTGGGTAAGCAATTTTAGGGGATCAGTTTAAGCTTCTTTGATTTGATGAAACCTGTCACTAACAATTTTTTTTTTGCTTTGTTTCCACAGCAGCGGGACAAAAAGGCATTCAAGTGCCTGTCACTCAGCACAGCAGGTCATAAAATTACTCCTCAAGTGACCGGAGAGCCCTTTCAAAGCATTACGTGCCTTCCTGAACTGCTAATGATTGCGAAGGGAGACGTAGTTAAACTGTCAGTTGTCACTGCAGCTCCGAGCTGCTTCCTGTCGAGCTTCAGCCGCTCGGCTCACGTCGCCGGCTCTAATGTAATGTCTCGGGCCGCCGATCAGAGACGTGGCAGGAGTTCTGGAGCGCAGTGGGACGGGTTTGTACGGCAGGGGTGAGGTCAGAGTTGAGGGACGTGAAAGACTTCCTACATCTGACTGGGTCACCTGAGAAGACAGCTACCTTAAAACTGACTTTCTATAGTTTCTTTTTTTTAATCTTTTTTGTGATGTTTTGACGTATCAATGTTTTAATTTACTCTGATGTAATTTGCAGTTAGGAGACAAGGAGCAAATATGATGACAGTGTGGAAAATGCGGGGGACAGAATTCAGAAATAAGACCCCTTAAATTTCTAATTCCCAATTGGATGTGATGTGGCCGCCTGTGATCTCATGGTGTGGCCAAGAGTGTGTGTACATGTGTGTGTGCATGTGTGAGCGATCAGAAAGAAGACAGAAAAGGCAAAGGTCCTGATAAGACATCAAATCATTAAAGGGGCAGTTCAGATCTTTTGTGGAGTGATTATAAACAGCAAATATCTTACCTGTGACAGATAGCCTTTTCAGTTTGGAGAAACAAGAGCTTAATTATGATGAGCTAATGGCTAGTCTGAGTTTGGTCAAGATCAAAAGGGAATTATTGCCATCTTTACAGCAACTCAAATGTCAAAAGTTTCATATCAACACTTCATGTCTTTCATTTTAAATTAGATCTCTATTTTCATGCAATCTTATGGTTTGCAAATACAAAATACAGCAGCAGCTAGCTGTAGCACATCCTCTGCAGCTTGTGGCACTTTCTGCAGGAATATTGTGTTTTTTGCTGTAATAATCAAGTAATTTGGCAGAGTCAYAGTTTATAAAATATTGTTTGTATAAATCTATATTATTGTCTGGCATCGAAGTTCAGTGATCCAGTTTGGTCTTGGCCCGGCTCGGCACTAGTTGTTTACTTATCAGTGAGATCAGAACCTATCTGTGTTTCTTAAAGCCAAGTTTGTTCAAGTAGTTATCTAAGACAGGTAAGATACTAACTGTTCAAAACCTCGCCACCGAATCAAACTTAAAAAAAAACATCTGAGCTTTCCTTTTAATGCTGCAGAAAATGCACTCCACAGAGTGGATTTAGTCCTGGCTCCACAAATGAACGTTGCAGAGATCTGTTCTGATCAGTGCAGGACTTCAACTCTTAACAGCTACTAAGTACAGTTCACTAACATTTCAGGACTTTATCCTGCTTAAAATAAAAACCCACAAGTTTCAACATTGTAGCACAAAATAAAAGGACACTTCAGTAGAAAATGAAGTACATTTTTTAAAAAGTGTTATCAGAGTGCAAAGAGTTTGTGCTCTTACATAAATGATGCTGACTGTGAGACTTCAGTTCATACCTGTGACAGGATGCGGCATTCTCAGGAAGGGCAGGATCTGAACAAGTGCATTGTGGGTGTTTTTATGCCTGTATGCCGATCTGACTGAGATGTAAAAATCGTATTTGTGGGCGCTGTTGATCCGGCCCTAGAAAGACAAAAATAAAAATGAAAAAAAAAAAAAAAAACAGCGAAAGTCAAGTTTTTCCTAACAGTACTTAAAAAGAAAACCCTCATGATCTCAGTCGGCCTTTTTGAGCATAAAGCACAGATTTAGGGATTAATACCGTTAGTTTTTGCATTTTTGTCTGCTCGTGTGAATTGAGCATGAACACGTACCTTCACACGCACGTGACAACTTCCACCATCTGGAAAAGGTTCGCAGGTGCCTACGCAGTATTCGTTTTAGATTTATTTCAAAGAAAAGCACTTTATTCTTGTTTAAACAGCGTGGTAGAAACAAAGACTTGGGTCGATGCCTTTAATGCTGTAGAGGAAATAATATTCAAATGCAATACAAACTGAAACAGTGA